CCAGCGGCTGTGCATCATGTCATTGGTGTGCAGATCTTCTCTAGTGCGCACGGAGCACCTTTCCACTCGGAATCCTACGGGGAGAGGCAGGGCGCAGGGCTGGCCCCCGGCTGCTTTTTCTCCTCTGAGGATCAGAGGTGGGCGAGCCGCAGGTTCCCAGTTCTGGCTCACCCGCCTCAGCTGCAAACACGCCAGATGACTGAATAAACAACCCCCCTCCCATGCCCCCCGCATCCCTCACAACCAGAGATAGAGACGATGTTGTAGGAGAGTTAAAGAGCAGGGGACGCGAATCTGCAGGTCTGCCTCATGCTGAGGAAAAGCCCTCCAATTTCGTGCTGGCCGCTGGGTGCCGTTCCCCATGGGAGCGCCGGACGGGCCGCTGTGCAGACGGGGAGGCTCAGTCCTGCGCAGGGCCTGCTGTGAGCGGTCGGCCCTCTTCCTTTCCCGGCTCGCCGCGGGCTGCCCCCGAGCAACTCGGGCCGTTTGCCGAGCGCCGGGTGGGCACGTGCCGGTCCAGGAGGGCTCGGAGTGCCGGCGGGCCTTCTGCTCAGCTTCTCCGCTGCATTGAATGTGATCGCTGGCCTTTCACAGAGGGGGGCGGCCAGTAAATGTGTCAGCACTGCCCCCGGGGGCCTGCCTGTGCTCGGGCTTCCCCTGGCCCCAGAGTCCGACCGCGTCTGCGCCTGACGCCTTCGCCATACGTCTTCCGTGACCGGGCGCGGAAGGGAGGCGCGGGAGGAACGTGGGAGGGTTTCTCAGTGGGTTGCCTCCGCAGTAACGAACCTCTCCACCTCCCCTCCCGAAACATCTGCCATTGGGGTTTTTCGTAAGCTCCCCCTTCGCTTATGTAGGTCACGCTTCACAGTGCTTTCTGCCTTCCCCTCGGAGTCCTCAAGCTGCGTTTTCCTCTTCCTCCTCCCCCTCGAGCAGCATGTCTTTTGGGGCTCCCCCCCCCCCCCCCCCCCCCAGCCCCATGCTTAATCCGTGTGCTTAGGTGCCCCCCCCCGTCTCCTGTCTCCTTATTTGTAGGACTGGAAGTGGCTGTGATTGGAGAGCCGCCTCCGAGCCTCTTGCCTTAAAGGGCCATGCGTCTGGCGCTCGCGGGGAGCCATTTTCGCGGGCGCTGTGGTGTGGGTTTGGACGCTGGCAGGCAGCCGCGAGCCCAGTGGCTCGTGAAGGAGGGCCCGGCTTCTCCCAGCCCGGGTGTCGGGCCAGGCCGTGTGCCCCGCTGCTTGCTTCTTCCCTTTCTGCCGAGGGAGGGGGGATAATGCCCTTCGGGAGCACTCCGGGAGCACTCGGCGCTCATCGCAGGCACACACATGTGAGGCCTGGAACATTCTGGTTCGTGCTTTCCGTATTCTCCATGACAAGGGGAGAAGCTTCCGGCCCCTCTTGGGAAGCATCCTGGCAGGCAAATTTGTCAGGAGGAAAAGAACCCTGCGTGATTCCTGGGTTTTCAGAGTCTCTGCATAGATACGTTCGAAGCCTGGAAGGGACGGTTGCAGGATGAGTGTGTGGTGCCGTCTGCCAGCACAAATGCGTGAGCCAGTGGGAGAGAGCGCGGGGCTCCTGTGGGGGAAACGGGCAGGCCCTGCCCGAAGCGCTTCCGGGGAGGCCGAGGAGGAGCTGCGCTCGCGGGAATCCGCAGTTTGGGCCGCACGTATGGCCTGCGGTTTGCCCCACGCCACGGCGGCTGCACAAGCCCCGTCGCTTGCGCTCGCGTGGATCAGACGGTGCCCCCATGTCAGCTCTTTTTATGCCATCGGGCCATGTCGTGCTGCGCTTTGTGGGGGTCCGGCGGACGGGGAGCGTCCCTGCCCCGCCACGCCACGGCCTCCCACCATCTCTTCCCTGCTTCCGGGGCGCTTGACGGGCCCACCGCTGGCCCTGGCTCAGAGCCTCAGTCCTTTGCCAAGCTGGAGGTGGCGCAGACTGGAGCTGCAGCATCCCAGGACACTCCAGGGTGGAGCCCCCCCCCCCGCAGGGCCCCCCGCAGGGGCCCTCGCTCCCCGCTGCAGCTGTGCGCCAGGCTGGCTCGCCCACCGGTAGCCAAACGGGGAGGCGAGGGGCTTTGACGGGGCCCGCGCCTGCCCTCCGCCGCCCGGGCAGCAGCTCCGTGCGAGGCCGGCCACGCAGCCCCGCCCCGTGTCCTCTTGCTTCTTTCTCGCGCTAGCAGCTCGAGGACAGTCTGGGGAGGGCGTTTCATCAGGAAGGAAGCCGGGTTGCCGCTCGGCTGCGAGGAGGCGTGTGTCGGGTTTCAGGGAATACAGCGACGACCTCCAGCGCTGGCTGCTATTTATATACCGCACGGAGGGAGAGCGTGAATAAAAGCGGTGAAGGCAGCAGAGCTGCGGGAGTCCCCGGGGAGCCGAGAGCCTCCTCGGCCTGGAGATGAGGGTCCCACGCGGGGGGGCGCGATTCCACGGGGGGGCGGTGGCCCTTTTCCATCACTCCTCCTTTTGCCGCGATTGATTGCGGGTGTGTTCGTGTGCGTTAAGGTGCTTTCCGAGGCTTCGGATCCCGCAGTCGACTCTGTCCTGTGCGGAAGCCCCCAAAACCTTCACGGAGAGCAGCGCTGTCTCCCCTGAGCGTAAAGCCCCAGTTCTTCGGCTGTCTCTCAGGCGGGAAGGGGCTGGAGGGTGGCCGTGGGTCCTGCCCCATTTTTCTGCTACGTGCAGGACCTTTTGCGTGTAGCAGTAGCAGATCCTCGCTCCAGCCCGTGCCCAGTACAGTCCCGGCTGTTTTGAAAATGCGGTCGCCAGTCAGCCTGACCACAGACAGCTCTGCAGGGTCCAAACTCAAGGACTGTAGGGTAATTGTGGGGGGAACAACCCACAATTAATGACGCTACTAGTTGTGGGTTGTTTCACCCACGATTAGCCCATGGTGTCTGGGTTCAGACAGCACAAAGCCACTCTCTGTTGCAGGTTGCACGTTTAAAAAGGTGCTGGCACTCACCAGGCCCCACCTTGGGCTCCTTCACCCACGGCCTGCCCCACCGTGTGCAAAGCAGGTTGCGGCCGGGTTGCAGAGGAGACTTCTGCAAAGTCGTCCTGAGATTTTTGTACAGTAGGACGGCATACAAAAGCCTTTAATAAAAAATAAAAAATAAAGTCACTGTATGGATACGGGATCGCAGGATTCCAGTTCCCTCAGTGGGAAGGAGACTGTCAACTCCCTTGCGAGGCGAAGCTCCATCTCCTCCGGGATGTTTGTGGGCTGGGTGGGAAAAGGCAGCTGCTTCGGAGCAAGAGCTTAGCGGGAGCCTTGACCTCACGGTAAACCTCCTGAAGCGGCACCTCGCTTGTTAAACATTCAAAAGGAGCCCCGCAGGTTTCTCGAGAAGGATTGCCGGGGCCCAATCGAAAAGATGTTTTGGCAGAGCGGGTTGTCTGCAGGGCAGCGGAGGAGCCTTGTGACGGGCCCGATGCTTGTTTGCCAGCTCCCGCCCTGCCGTGCCTGCCCGTGAGAACCCCCCCCCCCCCGCTAGCACCCCCAGCCCTGCCCTTCGTGGGGGCTTCACCTCTGGCCATGTGGGCAGGCCTGGGTCGGGTCACTGGACTGCTCAGACACAGGCTGTGCTGCCCGGGGATGGGGGGAGCCATGCCCATGCACCCTGGGGGGGGGGGCTGCCTGCAACCGCAGGGGACCCGGGGGAGCCCCTTAATTCCCAGCTGCGGCTCCTTGTGCCTCCGCCCCGGTGCAGTTGTGGGCCCTTCACACTCCGCCCGGGGGGGGGGTCCCGCCCTCGCATCCGGGGCAGCAGCAGACGGAGCCCCAGGGGCGCCCTCCAGGCTCTGAGAACCAGAGAACCGTGGTCTGGCAGGGCCAGGAAGGCCACCGGTCGGACCCCTGCGGCGTGTGCCCTCGCAGGTGGGCGGCGCTGCCCCCTTTCTGTCTCTAGACAGGTTGGGGTTTTGCATGAGCAAAATAAATGGTTCTCTGCGCTAACGAGACCCGAATAAAGCTGTCGAAGTAACAGGCCGTCTGTGGGTGTCGGGATTGGCAGCCAATCGCTTGGCGCGCAACTCTCGCCTCCTGTGCCTAGCTAGGAATTCCCTGGCCTGGGCCCGCTCCCCCCCACGGCCTCAGCTCCCCCGAGAGGCTGCTTGGCTGAGGGGGCGGTCGTGCGGAAGAAGGCGGCTCTTGTGGGGGGAGCGCAGCTTCTGTGCGTCCCCTTCCCCACTCCTAGTCATCTCTGGGCAGCGGGGATGAGGCCCCCTCCGATAATTCAGATCTAGCTGCAGCCCAGGTCTCCCGGGCAGCTCCCCACGCAGGAAATGGAAGAGAACGGGCTGGCGGGCCCCTCTCACACCACGGTTTTCTCGGGGTCTCCTTGCTGGGCAGTTGCTGCTGCCAGTCCAGGCCGTCTGGAAAGGATTCCCTGTGATTGTCCGTCAGCATTTCAGATGGTGCTCAGCTGATAATCCCAGCCCTTCCTCTCGCTGCCCCTTTGGCTGGCTCCCCCAGCTTCCTGGCACTGCCACTCGCCTTCCTCGCGACGGGGTCCTGCCCCGGCCCCTTGGCCGCCTGTCCCCAGGGGGTCGTGCTGACCCGGCCTTGCGGGGGCCTCCCTCCCTGCCTGCCCCCCCCCCCGAACAGCTGCCCTGCAGCTCCTCCCTTCCCCTGCCCCTGCCTGCATGCTGGCTTGCTGCGCCAGCGGGCTCGAGTGGGCTGCGGCGCCTGGGGGGGCCCGGCCTGGGCAGACGTGGCTGAGCTGGTGCCGTTCCGTGCGAGGCAGCGGAGCACAGGGGCAGAGGTGCGACGGCCCAGCTGTTCGCGCCTGGAGCGCATCTTGCTCTTGCCACCCCTTCGCTCCAGTTTGCGGCGCTTGTCAGACATCCGGCCTGCCTGCTTCTGATAGAGCAGTTGGGCCGTTCCGTTACGGCCGCTGTCCCCAAGCCGGCGCTCTCCCAGCGCCCGGCTGCGGCTCCCGCGAGCGCTGCTGGCCCGCCTTCCCACTTGCCCCCAGTAACTGCCGCTTTTCCTTCCCGCAGGTCCGATCCTTGGGCCAGGCTCCGTGATGCCCGGGCAGTCTGTGCCGGGCCGAGCGATGCCGGCTGCGGCCCCCGGAGGAGCCGGCGGCACACCCTCGTCGAGCGCAGCGCACATGGCCGGAAACATTGTGGGGGCCCGGGGGCCCCTGACTTCTCCGAACGGGCTGTGTAAGTGGGAGAGTCGGCACGGCCGCTGTTCTCTTGCTGCGGGCCCTGCCCGGTCCCCTCCCAGCAGCAGTCTCGCACTGCCTGGCCCGACCGACCGATCGCAGGAACGTGCAGAGGGCCTTCCCGGGAGGGCCCCTCCGTCTCCAGGCGGCCCGCGCTCCTTCCGTGGCCAGCGGGAGGCACCTGTCTAGAGGGCTCTTTGGGGATGTGACTTGAATCGAGCGCCTTTCGCTTCGGAAGCCCCTTTCCGGCCCAGGTGTCCGAAGGGCGGCCTCGCAGCCGGAAAGCACGGCTCCTGGTCGCAGGGCAGCGTCGGCCCCTCCGCTTGACCGGGGAGCAGTCCCGTGGCGCACTTCCTGGGCGTTCCCGGTGCTCTTTCCCGCTGGCCCCTCCGGGTGCCGTCCCGCACATGGGAAGGGCCGCCTCGGGGGACGTGGCGCTGCATCGCCACGCTGTCCTTGCTCTCTCTGCTCCCCAGCTTTCCTTCTCCCTGCTAGAGTGAGGGCGGGGCACACGAAAACGGTGGGGGCCTTTGGGGGGAGGACACCCCAAAGCTCTTCCCTGTGGCCTTCCTCCCGGTGTCCCCCCCCTCCACCTGGAGCAAGGACAGCACAAGCGCTGCACCCGGGTGTCCCTGGAGGCCCCTCGGAAGGGCCCGGGGGGCGGGGGCCGTTGCGCTTGTTCCCAGCGGCTCTGCACCTCTTGCCTCCCGGGCCGGACGTTCAGCAGCAGCCGGATCTGTCCCTGCTGCTCGGATGGGCTGGGCTGACCGGGGGGTGGGGGGCGCGACCCAGCCCGTCGAGCTGGCCCCTGGGTGGGGAGGGCGAGCCGCCATGGCGTGTGCCGGGAGGTGTCGGTCTCCGCGAGGTTCCCGTGGGTGGGCACGGTTCCCGTGGGCCCCGCGTTCATGCTGATTCGGTCCTGCAGGGGTGGGCGGGGCTCTCTCGTTCTTCCCCCCGGGAGGCGGGAGAGCAGCTCCCTGCGGGTGGCGGGACCCCCGGCCAGAACGACGGTCCTCTGGCCGGACAGCGGAGGAATAACCCACCACGCGTCTCGAGCGCCCCGTTCCAGCTCTCTGTCGAATGTCTTCCTCTGCAGATCCTGCTCCAGCCCAGCAGCCGGCGCCCCCAGGGGACGGGGCGACCCCGCCTCCAGCCGGAGCACCAGCAGCCCCCACGGCGCCCTGACCGGCCCAGCAGCGAGGAGCTCCTCAAGCTGCGACGCCATGACCCAAAGCCACATTCCTCCCCCTCCCCCTCCCCACTCCCTCCGCCGGCACTTTCCCCCGGGTGCGCACGCAGGCACGGCGCCCGCCAGTCTGCGGCCAGGCCGCCCTCCCGGGCAGCGGCTCCCCCCGGCCGGAGCCTCCCCTGGAACCGGCACGGCCTCCTCTTGGTGCTCTGCACGCTCGGCCCCGGCCCTTCCTGCTTCCCCGTGTGGCCGACGTGGCGGAGCTGGGGAGCCGCTGGGGCTGTCCGGGACCCTTCAGCGGGGGGGCGCCTTGCCCGGATGCCGCATCGGGGCAGCGAGGGCGCTCTGCCAGCCCCTCGCCCAGGCGTCCCGGTGCAGGCTGGCCGGAGGTGCTGCGGGCGGGCAGGCGGTTGCTCAGGAGGCTGCGCAGCCTTGCGGTTACCAAGCCGAACGAGCGATCTTCCCTGGCAAGAGCTGGGAGCCGCCTCACCGGTGGGCTTCGGCCTGCCGCGCAGCGTGAGCGGGCATCTCCTGCTGCCAGCCTTTGGGTGGGGAGGGCGGGCCATGCGCTGCGTGTCCGCCTTCCCCGTCCCCGTCGTCTTTCCCGGTGGAGCATCCTAACAGCCACAGGGGAACCGAGCCCCACGCCCCGTCCTTGGGGGATGGGTCCTGGCGCCCCTTTCACGGAGGGCAGCAGTGCCGAGTCCTGGCTTGTGGGCGCTCATGGGGCTGTCAGAACTACCTCGTGCGAGCGCTGCGCAGGGGAGCAAACCTGGCCGCCGGCTTGCTGCCTCTCCGGATCGCCCCGATTGGGCGTTCAGAAGCGGCGCTTGCGCCTGCCTGCCTGCCTCCAGCGCGCACAGCCGCCCCGCCAGCCCGGCACGCCCGTGCCCACGGGGCTCTGGTGAGGAGGGTGCCCTGGGGCGCGGAACAGGCCGTGCGGGTGCACAGGAGCCATCCCCTCCCGGCGTCCGGGACGGCCACCCCGAGCCGCCAGCCCGCCTCCCCCCGTTCCAGCAGCAGAGGCCTTCTCGGTACGCATGGGCCTGGCGTCGGTGGCCGGCCGCGCGGCCATTTCCAGCAGCGGCTCGCCGGGGCGGGGGCGTCCAAATTCAGCACTGTACCCCTATGCAAAAGAGGGTTGTTGGCAGCAGCCGATGCCGCCGCCTCTTTGCGCCGCCGCTGCGCTGGAGGCGTGCGGCCCCCTCGGATCAGGTGCTTGGGCCATGAGGGGGGGAGCGCTGTCCTGTCCTGGCCCACCAGCTTCCTGCGCACGCGCAGCTCTCTTGCCAAGCACATCGGGCCCGGTAAGCGACACCCCCTCGGTCTCGGGGGCGGTGAGGGAAGCCCCAGCCAGACCTTGCGATCGAGCGAGCGCCTGCCTCCCATACCTGCGCACTTGGAAGGGGGACTCGCCCGCCTCCCACCTCCCCTCTCCCCCCCCCCCCCCCATTGTCTTTGGAGCAGCATGGAATTTGGATTCCAGACGTGGTCCTCTTTAGACGGATTTCCTCAGGTTGTTTTTAGCAAGATCCGCTTCAAATGTAAAAGTTCTGACTAGAGAACTTGCCTTTTTTATTCTGCTGTTAACTGTGACCTGCAGTATATGAATTGTTAAGACAATTGGGTTTCTGTACACCTAGAAAGCAAGAGGTGAGACGGTTGTGTGTTTTCTGCAAATCTTGTCCTGTGTGGGGTGGGGGGACCTGGCTCCTGCGGTGCAGCCACTCAGTTTTGTGAAATAAACATGCGGGTGCTTTTTTTTTTTTAAACAACTAAGTGTGTGATTGGTTTATTCATTGGCAGAGAAGCACTTTCACAAGCAGGCTGGTATCGTTTCTGGGAAGGAGTACATACAGCCAGCTACCCCCAACCCAGGCACTAGTCCTCATGAATTAACCCCCCTGTTGGCGTAGCCCAGTTTTGTTCATTTCAGAGTGTCTTGTACAGGTGAAGTTCATTTCCATTTCCGTCTGCCTTTCCATCAGGCACCATTAGCGGCTTGCACAGAAAGACGGCGAGGGAGCGCCCCTTGATGCCGCAGAGGCCGGCCAGGGCAGGGCGGTGCATGCGCCCAGTAAAACCAGTTTCAGAAGGGAAAAAGGCCAGCAGGGCTGGAAGCAGGCCCGGCCCTTGGGTTCTCCCAGCCCTTTTATGTGTACCTTTCCATGCGTGGTAAGTCATGGATGGTTCAGACTTTTTAACCTCCTGTGTTTATCGCAGCCCCTCCGACCTCACGCTGGCGGCGGCGACTGCGAGGGACCCTCTGTGGTCTCGCGTGAGGGGTGCCCATAAGCACACTGAACTGGCCATTTCAGGGGCCTGGGCCAGTCTTCCCCAAAGCCCTCCCAGCGTGGGGGTGAGCTTCAGAGGGAGCTGCGAGCCGCATCTCTGAGACCGGCCAAGGCTCCCCCCACCCCACCCCACCGCACCCCCGTTCCTGCCAGGAGTTCAATCTGCCCTCCGTCATTAGGATGCTGAGCACCTCGGCTCCCGGACGGAACTAATCCTTCGCGCTGAAAGGCCGGGTCCTGGTGCCGTGGACAATGGGCCCTTGAGCGGGAGGAGGCAGCGTGCGGGTGTTCCTCCGATTTGGTATTCATGGCGGCCCCTCAGCCCCTTGGCTGCCCCAAGCCCAGCCTTCGCTCGGTTCTCGAGGAACAGCGCTGCCCATTGTGTGCGCCGGCGCACACAGCGCATCGGGCCTCCTTCCTCCCGGCGGGGCCCTCGCCACACTCGCTCTCCGCTCCTCGCTCGCACAACTTCTCAGCTGCGTCAGAATTCGGGAGGGTCAGTCGAAGACTGCGCTTCCCCAGACCAGCACCCACGGCAGGTTTTGGTTCGGCGCTCCACTCAGAAAACCGAGTGACGGAGCGGTGCCCAAGCAGGAAGCCTGCTTTGCGGAGCTGGGCTTGGGCACCCGGCTTGGGGTGGGCGAGGGAGGAAATGGCAGGCCAGCGCACTCGCTCCCGCGAGAGCCGCTTCGGGGGCCAAAGGCACCGGGGTGAGGGCTGCTCACGGCCACCAGCTGCAGGGGGCCGCTCTCCCCAGAGGCCCGACAAAAGCCGAGCCTGCACACCTCTCGGAAACGCGCATTAAAAATGAGTGCTGTGCCTCCAGGCAGTTGAAGCCGCGCATGGCTTGGGCCTCTGCTGGGCCCCCTGCCGGAGGGAGTGAGAAATGCGCTGCCGTCGTGGTGCTTCACTGGTTCACAGGCCGACCCGCCGGAGCCTCGTGCGCCACAGCCGTGCCCCAGCCCCTCCGCAGCCCCCTGGGTGCCTCAGCGAGACGGGAGTCTTCCAGCCCCGAAAGGAGCTGCAGTGCCAGACCGTGGGTTTCACTTGCTCGCTCGGGGCTGGCAACGCACTTCGCCCACCGTCGCGCAATTCTGCATTCGCACCAGTGGCTCTAAGCACTGCGGCAAAATTCACCTGGGGCCCCTCCAAGCCGCAGCCAGGAGACCCCCAGACCGCCCGCCGGATTGCTCATCGCTCCCATGCACACCCAAGCTGGGGCGACATTCTTGCGTTCCTGGAGGCAAAATTCAGCGCGAAGCTAAGCCAGGCTGCCAGCTTGCAGCTGGGGCCCCCGGGCCGATCCCGGAGCGGTTGCAAGCCCCGGGGGCCCCCCTGGCGGGGGGGGGGGGGGGCATCAGTAGAGCAGAGCAGCTGGTGGGAGTTGTTTCTCTGGGTGTGTTTAAGAAGAAACACGAGGACATCGGCCACTCTGCTGCGGCGGGGTGTCCTCTGCTGTTCCCTCGCAAGGGGTGGGTGGGCTCATGGGGCCGGCTGTGTGCTGCAGGGGGGGGGGGCGCTTTGCAGTGTGCCTCGTTGTCTGTCTAGGGTTCCTTCTTTCTCATGCACACGGCACACCCACCTATTCTGCTTTCTTTGTGTAGCCTATTTAATAGGTCACTCACACTGTGACATCCTCACACTCTTCCAGCGTCTTTCCTTTTCCTCGCTCACCCCCCAGGGAGACAGGTTGAAAATGCCAGAAATTAGTGCCGTGTTGGGGCTGCGATGTCTCGCAAATCGTGCTTCGCTTAAACTGGAATTGGCTTCATTCCTGCTTCTCCGCTGGAATTAAAGCCCGTAACGCAAGGCGAAGCCGCTGGCCTCGAGTGGGCCAGGGTGCCTGGCGCCGTGCAGAAACCGGGCACGGCCACGGTCAGGCGCTGGACATGTATGTGCGGCCCCCTCACACGCTCTCGTCTTGGGACTGAGTGGGCCCAACACAGCCCGGCTGCAGCCTTGAACCCCTGCAAACTGCTGCTGGTCCCCACCGCTTCTCATGCGGGGGGCTCTGGCCCACCATGTGCCCCCACACAGCTGGGTGCGAAGTGCCTCGCCCTGGCCTGTCTTCCCTGCGCCAGCAGCTGCCCCTGGGTGCACTTCCAGGCATGTTGAGACAGCGAAAAGGACCAAAACGTCATCCCTGTCCCCGGGTCACATCTGGAAACGAGCTGGTGATGGAACTGGGGACTTTTTAGCCCACTTTCCACCCCTGGCTAGAACCTCCACCAGCTCTAACAAAGGGTAAGGCGTCGCAGCGCCTGCCTTGTATGGCAACCCGGGGCCAGACTTGGGGGTTTACGGGCCGAATCCTGCAGTGGGAGGAGATGCCGAGGGCCGAACAGAAAGCAGCCCCGAGCCTTCTCTGCCGGAAACGGAGGGCTCCGGCTAGTATCTGGCCACTTCACACCCATATTCCACCACAGCTCTGGCCATGGACTGGTGCAGGAATGTAAGTAAAAGATAAGACATGGAACAGGAAAGGAAGATGACGACCAACAGCCCCGGGTCCTCGAGCAGCCAGCCCAAGGTGCCCGGAGCCTCTCGGAACGGGTTTGCGGGTGCTAGAATCCCGAAACGTTGCCCATCTTGTGTTTTGACGAACTCCGATCTTCGAGGTGGGCCTGCTCAGGCGGGCGTCCAGAAGGTTCCCAGGGGACCGGCCTCCGAAAGAGGGAGAGCACTGGCTGAGCCAACGGCGTCGCATCGGCGCGCATGCAGGGCCGCCCCGAGCCTGCCCTCGCCGGCACCCCTCTGCCCTCGAGCCGTGCCTGATCCTGGGAGCGGAAGCTTGTCCGCCTCCCTTGTGGGGCTGGGCCTTCGGCTCCCCCAGGCTTAAGCACAGAGAGGAGGAGGAGGGGTGTGGACCATTGCGGGATGCGGGGAAAGTGGACTGGGAGGCATTTCTCCCCCACTGCTGGGACTCAGCAGGGTCACTCCATGGAGTGGACTGCTGGGGAATCGGAGCTGCCACTGGTGGTCTGTGGGGGCAGCACTTCTCTTGAGCCGGGTGGGCCTGCTGTCCAGAAGGTACGGAGAGCCCTGCAGGACCAGCCCAGCCGTCCATTCTGTTCTGGTCCTTCTGTGGATGGCGGAAGCTGAAGCCAAATCATCTGGGGGGGCGGGGGGGGCTCAGTTGGAGCAGCACTAAATCCCGCCCTACAAAGTTTCGGGTCCCACCACCTAAGCTGGAGGTGCATGGTTCCACTCCCATCACATCCCCACATGGGTAGAAAGCTAGGAGGGTAGAACGGGGAGCCGGGGGGGGGGTGAAGGAGGACCCCAACACATGGCTGCACTGGGAAGCACTTTCTGTGGGTGTACGGTGCAAAAGGTAAGGTGGATTCTGGAAGATCGGACGCACAGGGCTGATTCCCCCATGCGCTCAAATGCCAGCAACCCGCCCCAGCCGAGCAGAGCAGCGACCCGTCCTTCCGCTCCGCTCCGTTCTGGACGACGAGCATATCCGGGAGGACCGTGCCGGGCAGCTCATCTCGGACCGGCGCTTGCCCAGCAGGGGCAGCAAGAGCGCCGTGGCCTGGGCAGCCGGCCCTGTTGCAGGAGGGAGGGCGGGCGGGAGGGCAGCGGTGCCCCAGAGACGCAAAAGCAGCGCCTGACCTGCGCTCGTGCTCGGGCCGAACTTGCACAGCAAAGAGCGGCTCCGGGCCGTGGGGTCCAGGCGGTGCAGGGCCAGCACACGCCTCGCAGGCAGGGCCAGGGTCTGGCCGTGCGCCGCCTCCAAACGCAATCGGAGAGGAGAGCAGGAGCCCAGAGCATCTCGGCCAGGGGTGTTGCTCATGCTTGCACACAACCAGTTTCGCTCCCTCCCTCCCTCTCATACTTCTGTCTTGCCTTTTCTAGGTACTCAAGGCGGCCTGCGTAGCTCTCCTCCTCCTCCATCAGTCTTGCCCTCGCAACAACAACCCTGTTGGGTAGGTTGGGCTGAGAGTCCATGGCTGGCCCAAGGCACCCCGAAAGCTTCCAGCTTCCAGAATCTCAGGGCCAGGATCCGGCCCGTGCTCAGCTGGAGCACAGAGGCCGGGGAGGCTGATCTTGCTGCAGGGCCTCGATCCACGCGCTTGGGCCTGATCCAGGCCGTCGCTCCTGCGCCCATCCTGCCTGCCTCCTCCCACCTTGACCTTGCACCTGAGTCGAGCCTGCTCGCAGGAACAGGCCTGCTCCGGAAACCGCCTGTGCTCACCTGTTGCTTGCTTTTTAGCAGAGACTGCTTTGGAACTGGGCCTGGAAGGAGATGCAGTCGGCCGTGGGCCCGCCAAGGCCTCCCAGCGGGATCAGCCAGGCCAGGCCCCCACGTCCCCTCCTGCCTCGCTGGTGCTGCCTGTGCAGAGGGGGCCGAGCAGCCCCGCCTGGTCCTCTGCCAAGGCCCTCCTGGCCGCTGCGCCGGCTAAGGAGAGAGCCGCCGCCAGGGCGATCCTGCAGGCAGTGGGAGGAGCCCTGGGGATCTGGGGGCAGGCGGGCAG